TTAAATGCAAAAAAAAAAAAAAAAAAAAAAAAAAAAAAAAATCCAATCTTTTCTAACTAGAAGATAAATCAAAAGTGACACAAATGAGCTTCTGTGTCCAAGATACTATAATAGCCATATTCTATATATTATCTATAATTAATATCACTCAAATCCAATTTTAAACCACCTCTGATTTATTCAAGCACAAAATGTCAATACTAAAATAAACACAAGTAACCGCTTTTACATAATAGAAGCAAAAGGACTTTAGAAATATACTTACATCAACTCAAAATACAAGTGGTATTCTCCATCTCCCTGACAAAGGAGAGTTTTACGACATTTTAGTCATAGATCTCTGCTTTGCTACCTAATAAGTGGGTTTCTTCATGTGCATGAATTATTGTCCTCAACCTCTAAAAAGTAGACTTGAGGTTTAATATAGCTTAAAATGATTAGACACATAGATGTCAAGAAATAACAATCCACTTAAAAGTCAATGCACACATTTTGCATTTTTAAAAAGCCACGTTTCATTGACAAAACATTAATTCATAAACTATACAACAGCAAAGATGAAGACGTATGTAACCTCTTGGTTTCACTGTATACACAAGGCTTGATTATCAAATAATTAAACTTCTAAAAAAAATTTTTAGGCCAGGCCCCGGGGCACATACTTGTAATGCCAGCACTTTGGGAGGCAGAGGCAGGAGGACTGCCTGAGTCTAGGAGTCTGAGACAGGTATGGACAACATGGCAAAAACTCATCTCCACTAAAGATACAAAAAATTAGCCAGGCACAGTGGTGCACACCTGTAGTCCCAGCAACTCAGGAGGCTAAGGCATGATTATCACCTGAACCCAAGAGATAGAGGCTGTAGCAAACCAAGATCACACCACTGCACTCCAGCCTGGGCAACTGGAGTGGGACCCAGTCTCAAAAAAAAAAGAGAAAAGAAAAAAAAGTTTAATTAAAATTATCTAGAGAAGAACAAAGCAATGTGAGAATGAGTATTGTGAAAATAAGAACCCAAATGTCCATCAATTGGTGAATGTATAAACAGATTATTCCATATCTACACAATGGAATACCACTCAGTAATTAAAAAGGAATAAACTATCAAAACTTCCAACAGCAAAGATGGTTTTCAAAATAATTATGATGGCCAGGCACAGTGGCTTATGCCCATAATACCAGTGCTTTGGGAGGCTGAGGCAGGAGGATAGCTTGAGACCAGGAGTTCAAGAGCAGCAAGATCCTCTCTAAAAAAAATTAAGAAAAAAAAAGATGATGATGATGAAAGAAGCCAGGCTAACCCCCACCCCCAAAAAACCATATACTCCAAGATTACAGTTAGATAAACCTAGGAAATGTAGCTGGGCGCAGTGGCCCACTCTTGTAATGCCAGCACTTTGGGAGGCCAAGTTGGGCAGATCATTTGAGGTTAGGAGTGGGAGACCAGTCTGACCAACATGGTGAAACCCCATGTCTACTGAAAATACAAACAAAAATTAGCTGGGTGTGGTGGTGCACACCTGTAACTCAGCTACTCAGGAGGCTGAGGCAGGGGAATCGCTTGGACTCAGGAGATCGAGCTTGCAGTAAGCCAAGATTGCACCACTGTACTCCAGCCTGGGTGACAGAGGGAGACTTCATCTCAAAAAAAAAAAAAAAAAAAAACCTAGGAAATGCAATGCAAACTTATCTACAGCGATAGATCATAGATCAGAGGTTTCCTGGAAGAGTGGCTGGAGGGATGACAAAGGAGCAAGAGGAAACTTTTAGGGGTGATTGATAGGTTCATTATCTTGATATGGTGATGGTTTCACTGGCAAAAAAACATATCAAATTGTATACTTTAATATGTGCAGTTAACTGTTATGACAATTTTACCTCAATAAAACTGTTTAAAAAATACTTAAAGAAAAAAAAAGCCTGGCCCGGTATATTGTTTACATCACCCTCTTTTCCAAACTGGTTCATATCCTGAAAAGTAACAGAACTGTAATACCTTTCCTCTGGAAATTTGCATGCATGAACAAAACCTTAAAACTCAGAAATTTAATTATAATAAAATTTAACAACAGTTAATATTTACATGGCTATGACTATGTGCCAGGCACTATTACAAGCATTTTTCTTGTATTAATTCATCTAATGCTCACATTAACCCCATTTTACAGATGAGGAAACTGAGGCACTGAAGGGATAAGTAATCTGATCAAAGTCACACAGCTGACAAGCAGAGGAGCTAGAATTTGAACCCAGGGAATCTAGCTTCAGAGTTAATTTCCTAACCCATTACCCTCTACTGCCACACACAATCTAAGGTATGTGAACACTAGAAGCAATGAATATTGCACTTGCAAAATACTTTTCTTTCTTACACTCACAGAATATAAATATTCACTACAATCGGCAACATCACATGAAACAAAATAAAAAACAACAGTGGCCTTCTTTTCCCAATTAATAGATGAAGGAAGGAGAGGCAGAAAGGCTAGACAACTTTCTTAGGAAAGAGCAAATAACTGGCAAGTTGACCAGTTCCTGGAAAGCTGGTTCCTCACATTCTTAATCCAATTGTTTTCATGGTTTTCAAAATCCTGATTATTTTAAGTAACACGATAAGGGAGAGAAAATCTAACATAGAAACATAAAAAGTAAAAGTTCTTTCTCTTTCCTCATACTCCTTACTGGTTCCTTAATTTCAGCCAGAGAATCTCAATCTCGGCAGATACAGGTCTGGAGTCTGTTTTTAAAGCTCCCCAGGTGATTGTTATGTGCAGCTAAGGTTGAGAATTCTCGATTTAGATTTCTCATTAAAGAAAGACAGAAGGCAGCTGGGTGCAGTCGCTCATTCCTCTCATCCAGCACTTTGACAGGTGGTGGCAGAAGGATGCTTGAGCCCAGGAGCTGGAGGTTACAGTGAGCTACAGTCCCGCCACTGCACTTCAGCCTGGGCAATAGGGTTATATCTTGTCTCAAAAAAATTTAAAAAGAAATAAAATAAAATGGGAAGACAAAAGAAAGCAAGGTGCCACAAAAAGCTTTGGTAAATCACGGCCAAAGGCTTTCCAAGTCAGTATTGAACTGCTGTCCACATGCAAACTTTTGAGTTCAACTTTTAATATATCAGAAGTACAAATATGCATTCAAGACAAGAGAAAGCAAGAAGCACAATAAACAACTTAAAAAAAAAATGCAAACCAGTGGTAAATTGGATGTTAAGACTTATTAGAGAAAACCCTACATTTCGATGTTATGTCATAACGGAAGTTACATAAAAATATATTGGGATGACAAAATCTCTTTTCAACTTTTTGGAATGCTAAATTGACATCTTAACATCAAGTCAATGAATTAAAAGCACAGAAAAACCTGTCAAATATCCACTGCATTTAGAACATGGAAATAATTGATAATACGCTGTGACTCTAGTTCAGAAGCATGGGCTGAAGAAAGAATGGGCCAGGCCAGGGTCGGTGGTTCACGTCTGTAATCCCAGCACTTTGGGAAGCCGAGGCGGGTGGATCACCTGAGGTCAGTGGTTCGAGACCAGCCTGGCCAACATGGCGAAACCTTGTCTCTACTAGAACTACAAAAATTAGCTGGGCATGGTGGCGCACACCTGTAATCCCAGCTACTGGAGACGCCGAGACAGGAGAATAGTTTGAGCCTAATAGGCGGAGGTTGCAGTGAGCCGAGATCGAGCCATTGCACTCCAGCCTGGGCAACAGAGCGAGATTCCGTCTCAAAAAAAGAAAGAAAGGGCTATATCTTTAGCCCATGACCTGAATCAATGCTCCTTGAACTTTAAGATGCACTTCTTGAGGAAGATTCTGATTCAGCATGATTCAGCAGCTCTGGGGTGAGGCATGAAGTGCAATTTTTTTTTTTTTTTTTTTTTTTTTTTTTTTTTTTTTTTTTTTTTTTTTTTTTTTTTTTTTTTTTTTTTGAGACGGACTTCTGCTCTTGTCGCCCAGGCTGGAGTGCAATGGTGCGATCTCGGCTCACCGCAACCTCCGCCCCCCAGGTTTAAGCAATTCTCCTGCCTCAGCCTTCCAAGTAGCTGGGATTACAGTAATGCGCCACCACTCCTGGCTAATTTTGTGTTTTTAGTAGAGGCGGTGTTTATTCTCGTTGGTCAGGCTGTTCTCAAACTCCCGACCTCAGGTGATCGGCCTGCTTCTGCTTCCCAAAGTACTGGGATTACAGGTGTGAGCCACCGCACCTGGCCATGAAGTACAATTCTAACAAGCTCCTAGGAGATGCTGATGCTGCTGGTAGGTGGACCAAACTTTGAGCAACAAAGCCCTGTATAACTGGAACATTGCGTGTAACATTAGCCAACTGGCTTACAAATATCATTATGTCTAGGATCCAATAAATAAGAGTCAATACAATTAATTCCTACTCCAGGCCAAAAAAAATTTTTAAATAAAAGTGAAAAACAGGGTTCAAGGGAAGGAGAAAGCAAATGCTTGTTTATATAGTCTAGCAGTGCTAAGAACCATAAAATACTGTTATTTCTCTCAACCTAGTAGAGCTCAAGGTGATAAAATATAGGCTCCATGAGTTAATGGATTTTTTAGTTAACTGCTGAATCCTTACGATCTAGCACAAATTAGGTACTCAATAAATGCACTGAATAAATGAAGAGTGGTAAGTATATACAAACGCAATCTATTTACGTCACATCCCCAAAAATGTCTGGGGAGGGGGCGGTATTTGTACTTCTAGATGCAGGTTGCCATGATTTGATACAAATACCGGGCCCATCTACTGAATTCCCTTTGTCCGAAGTTAAGTCAAAGCCCGTGGTCACGGCACCCTGATGTTTAGCAACTTTTTGGCTTTTTGAAAACAAGGAAGAAAGGTGGAAGTACAGGGAGAACGATTCGTTAAAGTCTCAAAAAATCAAAGCAAAAAACCAGGAGGGAGGAGATGGATGGACAAACAGTTCAGTTCACGTGAAGGAACATATGAGGTTGCCAGAGGTCCACGTGCTTACCTATGCTGGTGGCGGGGTTTGGGCTCGGGTTTTTATATGTTTTGTTACTGTCCAGGGTCACTGGTGAAGTAGCACCTAGCTGTGGAAACTCAGAATACACAGGTAGCCGGCACTGCAGCCAACCTTTTGAACCTTAGAAGAATCACGTTCGCGCCTACTTCCTCCTTCCCAGGGTCTCCGCGCGCGTTTGGGAACTCAACCGCCGCCCAAACACAAGATGATCTGAGCAGCTTCACTGTCGGATTGAGGCCACAGCCAGGCTTTAAGATGGCGACAAAACCCTTTGGTATTCTGTGGAATCTGCCCAAAAGAAAAATGGCCTCTGTCTAGAATCTCGCGGCTTTCAAAGAGGACCCAAAACAAAAATGGCGGCAGACGCAGGCTGGGAACCCAATGACTAAGATTGGCAGGTAACGAATCACGGTAACCCACGGTGCTAGGCTGTCGAACTGACCGAGAGAAAAAAACGCTTTTCTGTGGTATGTTTTCTTAACACCGGAAATTTACTAGCTTAAGAATGGAACGTATACTGTATTCGGTGCGGAAGATTATGGGAAACGTAGCTTTCAAAGTGCCAGATAAACTTCAATGGAAATTTAAACATAACTTCCGCTATGTTTTTTTAATGTTAAAAGAGAATAAAAGGTTTGTCCTGGAACCCAAAAGCAGGATGGGGAATAACGGATGAATTATCTAATCTGTGAAAAGCACCCTGCTGAAGAATGTCTGCACTTCCCCGTAAGCCCTCATATGCTTTAGTAGAAGGCAACTAGCTCTCACTGCGCATGTCCGCTCCCCAAACCCGATCCCGGGAGTGACTGGAGGGTAACTCCGTTTCTCCTGATTTTCGAGATAACCTCACAGAGAGGCGGGATACTGGGCTGAACGACAAATCCGGGCGCTTTGTGATTGGTCATGTCTGGGAGGCTAGAGAGCAGAGCGCAGTGGACTTCTTTCATTAGTTTAACAAATCATTGTTAAGAGCTCACCAAAAGGCAGAAGCTGTGCCATTTTTATATGTTATTTAAAATTTATGCGTTCTTTTAAAATTTCAGTTTCAATAATTTGCTGGAATATACGCTGAATAAACTTCGCTCCCCGTTTTTTCCGGTGACGGCCACCGGTACAATTGGCTGGAGCTTCCTGGAAAATCCGGAGCCGCGAGGTGGGAGCGGCCCGGCCTCGACCGCAGAGCTGCGCGTGCTCTGTTCCGCAGAGCTGCGCGTGCTCTGTTTCCCAGCGCAACGCGAAGGCTGTCGGGATCCGCGGCAGCTGCGGCTTGAGGTCGGTCCCTAGTCCCTGCGGGCGGCGGCGGCCTGGGGCGGCGTGGCGTTTGGTGGGCAGGTGAGAGCGCTGGAACTTCAGGTGGAAAAGACCGCTTTGTGTCCGGCCGATGAGAGGGGAAGGGGCTTGTAGGTGCCTCTCTCCACCCCCAAAGGTCGCCCTTGTCCTCACTGAAGGATATTTGGGGGCGGGGACAAGGAGGAATCTGGCTTTTGGTAGGAGGTGAAAAAAAGAATAGCTGCAGATGCTAAATGCTTGCGGGCGGCGAGGAGGTCTTCCCGCCGGTGGGAAAAGCTGGAGGAATGTCGCCTCCCCGCGCTCCCACCTGCGCTGCGCCGGACCTGTGACTCCCTCGTCACCTTCCTCGCTGGGAGGGGCCCCGTGTGCCTCTCTCATGTCTGGAGGGTGCATGGTGTACCCCAGGCTGTCAGGAGGTGGGGGCCGCCTTCCGACGGCGTCAAAACCCTTGTACAGCATGGTCCTGCCAGCTGCTTGAAAGCGGCCGTGGACCTTGCAGGGATGACCTTGAGGTCATGCTCATCTTCCTCCCAGATGAGACTGTACCCAAATCCTTTTGCCGTTTTGGAGACTCTCAATATGACGGTTTCATTCATTTGTTAACATAGTCAGTTTACCTATGAACAGATAATACACGTGTCTCAGCACTGCCGAGTTAGTAGATACAGCAGTGATCAAGATGGACATGCACAACCCTGACCCTGACTCCATGTTCTAGTGATTGGGGAGAAACAATACTCTCCCTATCCATGAGTTCCGCACCTGTGGATTCAACGAAGTGCGGAAAGAAAATATTCTGGGGCAGCAGGGCTCTGTGGTTCACACCTGTAATCCCAAAACTTTGGGAGGCTGAGGTGGGCGGATCACTTGAGTCAGGAGTTTGAGGTCTGCCGGGCCAACATGGCGAAACTCCATCTTACTAAAAGTACAAAAAAAAAATGAGCCTGGCTCAGTGATGCGCTACTGTAGTCCCAGCTACTTGGGAGTCTGAGACAGGAAAATAGCTTGAGGCCTGGCGGCGGAGGTTGCAGTGAGCCAAGATCATGCCAGGAAAGAAAAAATATTCTGGGGGGAGAAAAAGATGGTTGCATCTGTACTGAACATGTGCAGATCTTTTTTCTTGTCATTCCCTAAATACTGCAGTATAACAACTACTTACGTAGTGTTTAACGTTATATAAGATATTATAAGCAGTCTGGAGATGATTTAAGGTACATGGGAGGATGTGGTAAGTTGTGTGCAAATACTACACGATTTTTTTTTTTTTTTTTTTGAGACGAAGAGACTCGCTCTGTCGCCCAGGCTGGGGTGCAGTGGCGCCATCTCTGCTCACTGCAAACTTCGCCTCCCTGGTTCAAGCAATTCTTCCTGCCTCAGCCTCCCAAGTAGTTTGGAATTACAGGTGCCCGCCACCAAACCCGGCTCTAATTTTTGTATTTTTTAGTAGAGATGGCTTTTTTGCCATTTTGGCCAGACTGGTCTTGAACTCCGGACCTCAGGTGATCCACCCGCCTCGGCCTCCCAAAGTGCTGGGATTACAGGTGTGAGCCATGGCGTCCAGCCTGCTACATGATTTTTTAATCAGGAACGTGAGCATCTGGATTTAGGTCTCCATGATGGTTCCTGGATGGAATCCCCCAGGGATACTGAGGGGTGATTATACATTGATAATAAACAAGATGTTTCTAGATTGTCTTGGGTTGGGTTTCCTGAGAATCAGACTCTGAGGAGATTTGGAGGCAGGACTTTAATAAGACCTTTTGGACAATTACCAAGGAAGAAAGGAAGCAGAATTAGGCAGACAGAAAAAGTTAAGCCTTATCCAAGTCCCAAAGATGTTCTCCACCAATCCCACAGGAACTCTAGCACTGGGTTGGCCCTTCAGAGTTGAAGGGAAGGGCCAGGCCTTTATAGCCCTGCATTGATCTGTCATTGGATGCTGTTGCCTTGGAAAGGGCCTAACTTCAATTCTCTTCAGCCAAATCAATCATGGATGGAGGCTGGCAGCTGAGGTCTGTCTCAGCACTTCCAGGCACTGGGGAAATAAGCCTTTCATTCCTTAGGGGGGTCAGGGTGGCACATCACAGCATTTACCGCAAAGGTAAGGCTTTGAAGGAAACACATGAGAGAGAATAATGGGGAGGAAGAGAGGAAAAAAACTTTAGATTGAATACTCAGAGAAAGGCTCTCTGAGGAGGTGACATCTGAGCTAAGAGCTGAAGCACAAGAATAAGCCACCCTGTGTGGAGCAAAGGGAACAAGATTCTCTACTTTTCTGCTGTGCACTAGGAATACAGCCAAAAAGACAAGTGGCTGCTACCTTCTGTTATAGTGGGTGGCAGTGACTAGCTTTTCTAGATTTTGACTCCCTGCTGTAACTAAAGATGTAGTAAGTAAAAATGGATTGAGTCTAATTCAGAGGAGGATAGAGGAAAAAATCAGAACTATGATTTTGAAAAATGAGTAAACTTGGGGAAAACTTAATCTATACAGTTTTTTGTGGGGGTTTTCTTTTGTTTGGTTTGGTTTTTTGATCCCGTACAGCATTGAATTATGTTTTAATAAGATTGTCCTGTGATCTTCTCAAACCTGTATTCTCCTTCAGTATAAGAGTCATGCCTTACTCTTCTTGGTAGGTCCCCCTGAGCCTAATAGTCTTGCTAGCACCTAATAGACACTACATGAGCATTTGGGTAGAATTAATCTCATACATATTTGAAGTAAAAATTGCTAATCCCTAAATGATGTAAACATGGGATACATAACTGTTTGGATTTGTCTTTACAATATTTGCTGTTTTCATAAGTTAGAACTCAGTTTTAGTCAAAATATTCGATGGTAATATATATAACTGCTTTGATCAAGCAGGAACCTCCAGAGGTGCCTATTTTTATATATGCTTTGTAAGATAATATATTCCCAATAAAAGTAATACCTGCCAAGTATTGAGCACTTCCCACATGCTAGGCACTGTACTACGCTATGAATGTATATAGTTATCTTCTTAATATGGCCCCCTATTTCAGATCATGATATTGAGCTCTTAAGGCAGGAGATAAGTAATTTGTCCAAGACCATAACTAATTTGTGATGGAGGTTAGAATATGATTCTCTTTTTTTTTTTTTTTTTTTTTTGAAACAGAGTTTTGTTTTTGTTGCCCAGTCTGGAGTGCGATGACGTATCTCGGCTCATTGCAACCTCCTCCCCGCAACCTCCGCCTCCCGGGTTCAAGGGATTCTCCTGCCTCAGCCTCCTGAGTAGCTGGGATTATAGGCATGTGCCACCATGCCATGCTAATTTTGTATTTTTAATAGAGACGGGGTTTCCCCATGTTGGCCAGGCTGGTCTCAAACTCCTGACCTCAGGTGATCCACCCACCTCAGCCTCCCAAAGTGCTGGGATTACAGGTGTGAGCCACACGCCCGGCCTAGAATTTGATTCTCACCATAACTCAGGGCTTTTGCTCTTAAGCGACCGACAGCATTTCCGAAAATGTAGACCATGTTTCCGTCATAGTAGGTTTCTCACATTTAATCACTTGGCTGCTCTATTAACTGTTATTAGAGAAACAAACATGAAATCATTCCCGTCTTTGTTGCTTTGCTCTGTGTCTTTTAGTTTTCTGACTTCCTTCACCGCTTTCCTGGCTCTCACTTTAGAGGCTTGACTGTTATCTGTACTGTAATATCCTAGAATCTGATTACCAGATTCTATCTACACTAGTCAAAGCCCAGACACCTGAGAACCTCTCTCTGGAGACTGGGTATTTTTATTCATAGCTAACTAACTGAAACTGCCCGGAGAAGCAAGCCCTCCTTTATGGGGACCACTTCCCTTAGTTGGGGCATTAATTCTAGTCCTCTCCTGTTCTTGCTATACTACAGGTTAATT